ACACATCCAGACATGTTAAACTCATGCTTTCGATCTCATCTATGACACATCCAGAAATGTTAAACTCATGCTTTAGATCTCACCTATGACACATCCAGAAATGTTAAACTCATGCTTTAGATCTCACCTATGACACATCCAGACGTGTTAAACTCATGCTCTAGATCTCACCTATGACACATCCAGACGTGTTAAACTCATGCTTTAGATCTCACTTATGACACATCCAGACGTGTTAAACTCATGCTTTAGATCTCACCTATGACACATCCAGATATGTTAAACTCATGCTTTAGATCTCACCTATGACACATCCAGATATGTTAAACTCATGCTTTAGATCTCAGCTATGACACATCCAGATATGTTAAACTCATGCTTTAGATCTCACCTATGACACATCCAGATATGTTAAACTCATGCTTTAGATCTCACCTATGACACATCCAGACGTGTTAAACTCATGCTTTAGATCTCACCTATGACACATCCAGATATGTTAAACTCATGCTTTAGATCTCAGCTAAAACACATTTAGACAAGTAAAACCCATCTTTCAGATTTTAGCTATAAAACGTCCAGGACATTTTAATTTCATTTTCTAAATCTCAGCTGTGCTGCAATCAGACATTTTGAATTCATTTTTTAGGTCTCAGCTCTTACAGTCTCATCCACACATGTTAAACTCATGGTTTAGGTCTCAGTTCTGATAGTCTCATCCACACATGTTAAACTCACGTTTTAGGTCTCAGTTCTGACAGTCTCATCCACACATGTTAAACTCACGTTTTAGGTCTCAGTTCTGACAGTCTCATCAACACATGTTAAACTCATGTTTTAGGTCTCAGTTCTGACAGTCTCATCCACACATGTTAAACTCATGTTTTAGGTCTCAGTTCTGACAGTCTCATCCACACATGTTAAACTCATGTTTTAGGTCTCAGTTCTGACAGTCTCATCAACACATGTTAAACTCATGTTTTAGGTCTCAGCTCTTACAGTCTCATCCACACATGTTAAACTCATGGTTTAGGTCTCAGTTCTGATAGTCTCATCCACACATGTTAAACTTACGTTTTAGGTCTCAGTTCTGATAGTCTCATCCACACATGTTAAACTCATGTTTTAGGTCTCAGTTCTGATAGTCTCATCCACACATGTTAAACTCACGTTTTAGGTCTCAGTTCTGACAGTCTCATCAACACATGTTAAACTCATGTTTTAGGTCTCAGTTCTGACAGTCTCATCCACACATGTTAAACTCATGTTTTAGGTCTCAGTTCTGACAGTCTCATCCACACATGTTAAACTCATGTTTTAGGTCTCAGTTCTGACAGTCTCATCCACACATGTTAAACTCATGTTTTAGGTCTCAGTTCTGACAGTCTCATCCACACATGTTAAACTCATGTTTTAGATCTCCTATTTGCCATAACCAGAAGTGCTAAACTTGGATGATGTTATGCAACATTTATATGACCGGCTCAAAACAGCAGTCAGTTGAACTTGTTTACGCAGCCATGCATGCTGTCAGATTTAAAACCACCTCAATTCCTATGTCACTAGTGAAAGAACCAGTGTCGACGTAAGGCAAATCTGATTGTTTTACCAATTTAAATGCACAAGTAATGCTGCATATGTGAGCAGAACGGATTGACAACTGGAGAAACGTATTCCACTATGGGTGGTAGAAACATTGCAAAACACCAACATCTCAACAACAACGAATCAGCTGACTGGTTGTAAAAATCCATCATCATCAATAGCGTGTCATCTTCTCAATTCTGGACACATGGTAAACAAGGACAACGCATTTCGAATTATTTACACTTCAGCCAACCTTAGATTACTGTGATACGCGGAAGCGTCAGCGATCAGCCAGTTTAATCCAGAACTTTGCTGACAGAAGGAAATGATTGTTACTTTGCGGTTACCTTGGTGAAAAAGACAATCTGTGAATGTAGTCAATTTTGTGTTTCAGTTTTAAGGTTTTATAGAAATGCACACATACACCCACCCAGATCATAATACAACAATCATGTTTATAAAAATGCACACATACACCAACCCAGATCAACATACAACAATCATGTTCACTCGCAGACACACATATATTACAATCATATTTACACCCAAATAAACAAATAAATTCAAAAACAAAAATAATACTTATTTATGTACACAAACACATATGTACTAATCGTATTTACATGTCTACACAGACTAAAACATGACAATTATGTATACATATGTACACAATCATGTTTGTATATGTACACAAAAATCACATAACAATCCTGTTTACCTGCATACATAAACTCACACACATCACTTATGTTAACATGTGTACAGAAACAGTGACATACTAATCATGTTGAAGCTAAATCAATGCTGCCTATTATGTACACAGTATATGACATTATGTGTGTACACAGCAGGCAAAATTATGTGTGTACACAATATAGGACACTATGAATATACAAATGATGGCATTAAGTGTGTACGTAGTACACTGTGCATGTATGTTTGTTGACAAAAAATGACATTTTTTGTGTACATTGTACTCTATGCATGTATGTTTGTAGACAGTAAATGACATTGTGAGTGTACATCATCATCAGTTCTCGATATGCCTAGTGGCAAATGAGGCTTCAGAGAGGACTTTCCATGCTTTCCTGTCCTGTGCAATCTTCAGTGCAGTTTTCCATGTCAAAGATGCCGCACTCAGGTTACTTTCCATCGTTCGTCTCCATGTTGTTTTTAGGCGTCCCTGTTTTCTCTTTCCCTCTGGTGTCCATGTGAGAGCTCTTTTGGTAGGTATTTCAGAAGTCATTCTCATAATGTGGCCAAGCCATTTCCATCTTCTCTTGGTAATCATTCTGTCTAAAGTTTCTTGGTTTGTGGCTTGAAGTAGTTTAGTGTTTGAGATTGTATCTGGCCAGAAAATTTTGATAATTCTACGTAGACATGTGTGGTGGAAGGTGGACAGCTTGTGTGCATCCTTTTTGGTCATTCTCCAGCATTCTGCTCCAAAAAGAAGAACTGGCAAAATGACGCTCTTGTAGAGTCAGAGTTTCGTTCCTCTGCAGTATTTGTTAGATTTCCAGATTTGCCTCATCCTTCCAAAAGCAGCTCTAGCTTTGTTCAGGCGTGACTGTATATCTTCCTCTGACCCTCCCAGTAGGGACACCACACTGCACGTGTGTACACAGTACACTATGCATGTATGTTTGTAGACAGTAAATGACATATGTGTGTACAGAGTACACTATGCATGTATGTTTGCAGACAGTAAATGACATTATGTGTGTACATAGTACACTATGAATGTATGTTTGTAGACAGTAAATGACATATGTGTGTACACAGTACACAATGCATGTATGTGTGTAAACAGTAAATGACATTATGTGTGTAAATAGTACAACATGCATGTATGTTTGTAGACAGTAAATGACATATGTGTGTACATAGTACACTATGCATGCATGTGTGTAGACAGTAAATGACATTATGAGTGTACATAGTACACTATGTATGTATGTTTGTAGACAGTAAATGACATTATTTCTGTACATACTACACTAGGCATATATGTTTGTAGACAGTAAATGACATTTTTGTGTACACAGTACACTATGCATGAATGCATGTATGACATTATGTGTGTAAATAGTACACTTTGCATGGATGTTTGTAGAAAGTAAATGATAGTAAGTGTAAATAGTACCCTATGCATGTATGTTTGTAGACAGTAAATGACATTATGTGTGTAATATAGTACACTATGCATGTATGTTTGGATACAGAAAATGATCGCATGTGTAAATAATACACAATGCATGTATTTTGTAGACAGTAAATTACATTATGTGTGTAAATAGTACAACATGCATGTGTGTTTTTAGACAGTAAATAACATTGTGTGTGTACATAGTACACTATGCATGTATGTTTGTAGACAGTAAATATTATGTGTGTACAGAGTACACTATGCATGTATGTTTGTAGACAGTAAATGGCATTATGTGTTACATAGTACACTATGCATGAATACATGTATGACATTATGTGTGTAAATTGTACTCTATGCATGTATGTTTGTAGACAGTAAATAATAGTATGTGTAAATAGTACACTATGCATGTCTGTTTGTAGACAGTAAATGACATATTTGTGTACATAGTACTATGCATGTATGTTTGTAGACAGTAAATGACATATTTGTGTACATAGTATGCTATGCATGTATGTTTGTAGACAGTAAATGACATATTTGTGTACATAGTATACTATGCATGTATGTTTGCAGACAGTAAATGACATTATGTGTGTAAATAGTACACTATGCATGTATGTTTGTAGACAGTAAATGACATTATGTGTGTACATAGTACACTATGCATGTATGTTTGTAGACAGTAAATGACATTATGTGTGTACATAGTACACTATGCATGTATGTTTGTAGACAGTAAATGACATTATGTGTTTACATAGTACACTATGCATGTATGTTTGGAGACAGAAAATGATAGCATGTGTAAATAATACACTATGCATGTATGTTTGTTGAGAGTAAATGACATATGTGTGTACCAGTACACTATGCATGTATGTTTGTTGAGAGTAAATGACATATGTGTGTACATAGTACACTATGCATGTATGTTTGTTGAGAGTAAATGGCATATGTGTGTACCAGTACACTATGCATGTATGTTTGTTGAGAGTAAATGACATTATGTGTGTACATAGTACACTATGCATGTATGTTTGGAGACAGAAAATGATAGCATGTGTAAATAATACACTATGCATGTATGTTTGTTGAGAGTAAATGACATATGTGTGTACAATGCATTTATGTTTGTAGACAGCAATTGACATTATGTATATACATAGTACACTAGGCATGTATCCACACATGCATTCATCCATATGCTACCAACAGACCCAAGCTAACAGATGCCTACAAACACAAGAGCTCAGATGTAAAGTTATCCAGCTGTGCGCATACACATCCGGTTGACGACCATCTCTGAGTAGACAGCGTTGATATCCCCTTGGATGTGAAACCTGGCCCTTGGTTTCTCCTCAGCCCCAGCTGTCCACAGCTGTTCTACTGCTGGTGTTTGCACTGGAGAAACCTGTGACAATGGAAGGGGGAAGGGGAGGGGGGCAAGTAGACAGGAGTCATTTATAAACATGGAAAAAACCGATCACATTAGATATTGTCCAGAAGGAACTAAAAAACATAATGGACAACACTGACCTGGGAAGCTAACAGACATGATGGACAACACTGACCTAGAAAACTAACAGACATAATGGACAACACTGACCTGGAAAACTAACAGACATAATGGACAACACTGACCTAGAAAACTAACAGACATAATGGACAACACTGACCTGGGAAGCTAACAGACATAATGGACAACACTTCTTCTTCTTCTTTGCGTTCACCAGCTGTACATTCTGGCGTAAAGTTCTGGTTGTTCGTCCACTTCTGGACTGCAGTCCTGCTCCAGAACCTGGGTGTTGCATGTGCATCAGCTTTACAGATCTGATTCCATTGAATGCAGACTGCTGGTTCCTTGCCTCTCAGGCAGATGCACTTCGACTTCAAAGGAAGCTCCCCAGTTAGTCGACTCTTACGACATGCTTTTGGGGAGGCAGTGGGTCTATTCTTGTTTTCCCCACAATAGGGCCCCGGAACCCACACGGGGGATGGACAACACTGACCTGGGAAGCTAACAGACATAATTGACAACACTGACCTGGAAAGCTAACAAACACAATGGACAACACTGTCCTGGTAGAAGTTACGGTCACACTGGACAAAATTGACCTTATAAAAGTGACAGACACACTGGAAAACACACCTAATAGGACATACATTTTGTACAAAACTTACCTGATGGAACTAACATACATACAAGACATCATTTACCTCATGGAACTAATAGACATACTGGACATCAATCACCTCATGGAACTAACAGACATCAATTACCCATGGAACTATACTAGAAAGGAAAAGCCCTAAAGTACCAAGATAAAAATAACGGAAAATAGTTTGTTAGGCGGGGAGTAGAAACAGAAATATTCTAGCCCAGACAAGAAATCTTCTATGTACAGTCTAGATCAGCAGTAACAAGGAATAAACTAGGCACACTAACCACAAGTCCTAATCTGAACCAAACACAACTGAAACTATGATTACCCTATTCAACATCTGTTAATTTCACTTAATATAAAATCAGCGTAGTCCACACACACACACACAAATTAACAGCAACCAACGTGCTCAACCAGAATCTAAATTGCTAATCATCTCCAGCTAACAAGGAAATATGATTATGACACAATACGCTCAGCGAGATTACCTCAACAATGGCAAAAACCCAAAACATATTAAACATGTACGTTAAGATTCGATATGCCACCAGACCAACAAATCAGTTATAGTGACGTGCCATCAAACTATCTCCTAGCGAGGTTGCACAAATGAAATCACATCTAATACCACCTAAACAAATGACAAGTACCATTATCGCGAACACGAGCGAGGTTAGCGTCGCTCGGCTGGTCCGATCTGACAATACTGTGCTTTGAAACTAAGTGCAGTCAAACAACAGCAGACAGGGTGTCTGACCATAGCCACCACAGAGCGACAGCCAAATAGACCACTAAAAGGCTAAGCAAGTTCTTTTATTAACTGATGGCTGGTCAAGTTTCTTTACATTATCATCTAAGACTAATCGCTAATCCTGTGGCCCCTTGGGCTGTCACAGAACTAACAGACATACTGGACATCAATTACCTCAAGGAACTAACAAACATACTAGACATCAATTACCTCAAAGAACTAACAGACATATTGGACAACACTAGCCTCATGGAAGACAGACATAGTGGACAACAATGCCCTTATGGAATAAATGGACACACCGGACAACACTGACCTCATGGATCAAACAGACTTACTGGAGGACAACACTGACCTGATGGAAGTTACACATACCCTGGACAACACTAACCTGACAGAACTCACAAACAGAGGACAAAACTGATGTGATACACGTCACAGACGCACTGGACAACACTGACCTCATGAATCAAACAAACACACTGGAAATACTGACCTCGTGGAACATACAAACAAAATGGAGGACAACACTGACCTGATGGAAGTGACACATACCCTGGACAACAGTGACCTCATGGATAAAAAACACACACTGGAAAACAATTACCCCGTGGAACAAACAGACCAACTGGACAAAACTGACCCGATGGAAGTCACAGACACACTGGACAACACTGACCTGATTGAAGTGACACATACACTGGACAACACTGACCTGATGGAAGTGATAGATACACTGGACAACACTGACCTGATAGAAGTGACACATAAACTGGACAACACTGACCTGATAGAAGTGACACATACACTGGACAACACTGACCTGATAGAAGTGATAGATACACTGGACAACACTGACCTGATAGAAGTGACACATAAACTGGACAACACTAACCTGATAGAAGTGATAGATACAATGGACAACACTGACCTGATAGAAGTGATAGATACACTGGACAACACTGACCTGATAGAAGTGACACATACACTGGACAACACTGACCTAACAGAAGTGATATATACACTGGACAACACTGACCTGATGGAAGTGACAGATACACTGGACAATACTGACCTGATGGAAGTGACAGGTACACTGGACATCACTGACCTGATGAAAGTGACAGGTACACTGGACAACACTGACCTGATGAAAGTGACAGATACACTGGACAACACTGACCTGATAGAAGTGACATGTACACTGGACAACACTGACCTGATGGAAGTGACAGATACACTGGACAACACTGACCTGATGGAAGTGACAGGTATACTGGACAACACTGACCTGATGGAAGTGACAGATACACTGGACAAAACTGACCCGATAGAAGTGACAGATACACTGGAAAACACTGACCTGATGGAAGTGACAGGTACACTGGACAAAACTGACCTGATGAAAGTGACAGATACACTGGACAACACTGACCTGATGGAAGTGACAGATAGACTGGACAACACTGACTTGATGAAAGTGACAGATACACTGGACAACACTGACCTGTTGGAAGTGACAGATACACTAGACAACACTGACCTGATGGAAGTGACAGATACACTGGACAACACTGACCTGATGAAAGTGACAGATACACTGGACAAAACTGACCTGATAGAAGTGATAGATACACTGGACAACACTGACCTGATGGAAGTGACAGGTACACTGGACAACACTGACCTGATGGAAGTGACACATACACTGGACAACACTGACCTGATGAAAGTGACAGATACACTGGACAAAACTGACCTGATAGAAGTGAAAGGTACACTGGACAACACTGACCTGATGGAAGTGACAGGCACACTGGACAACACTGACCTGATAGAAGTGATAGATACACTGGACAACACTGACCTGATGGAAGTGACAGGTACACTGAACAAAACTGACCTGATGGAAGTGACAGGTACACTGGACAACACTGACCTGATGAAAGTGACAGATAAACTGGACAACACTGACCTGATGGAAGTGACAGGTACACTGGACAACACTGACCTGATGGAAGTGACAGGTACACTGGACAACACTGACCTGATGGAAGTGACAGGTACACTGGACAACACTAACCTGATAAAAGTGACATGTACACTGGACAACACTGACCTGATGGAAGTGACATGTACACTGGACAACACTGACCTGATGGAAGTGACAGATACAATGGACAAAACTGACCTGATGGAAGTGATAGATACACTGGACAAAACTGACCTGATGAAAGTGACAGATACACTGGACAACACTGACCTGATGGAAGTGACAGATACACTGGACAACACTGACCTGATGGAAGTGACATGTACACTGGACAACACTGACCTGATGGAAGTGACATGTACACTCGACAACACTGACCTGATGGAAGTGACAGATACACTGGACAAATCTGACCTGATGGAAGTGACACATACACTGGACAACACTGACCTGATGGAAGTGACAGGTACACTGTACAACACTGACCTGATAGAAGTGACACATACACTAGACAACACTGACCTGATAGAAGTGACACATACACTGGACATCACTGACCTGATAGAAGTGACACATACACTGGACAACACTGACCTGATGGAAGTGACATGTACACTGGACAACACTGACCTGATGGAAGTGACAGATACACTGGACAAAACTGACCTGATGGAAGTGACAGATACACTAGACAACACTGACCTGATGGAAGTGACACTTACAATGGACAACACTGACCTGATAGAAGTGACACATACACTGGACAACACTGACCTGATGGAAGTGACAGGTACACTGGACAACACTGACCTGATAGACGTGACACATACACTAGACAACACTGACCTGATAGAAGTGACACATACACTGGACATCACTGACCTGATAGAAGTGATAGATACACTGGACAACACTGACCTGATAGAAGTGACATCTAAACTGGACAACACTAACCTGATAGAAGTGATAGATACACTGGACAACACTGACCTGATAGAAGTGACGCATACACTAAACAACACTGACCTGATAGAAGTGACACATACACTGGACATCACTGACCTGATAGGAGTGATAGATACACTGGACATCACTGACCTGATAGAAGTGATAGATACACTGGACAACACTGACCTGATAGAAGTGACATCTAAACTGGACAACACTAACCTGATAGAAGTGATAGATACACTGGACAACACTGACCTGATAGAAGCTATAGATACACTGGACAACACTGACCTGATAGAAGTGACACATACACTGGACAACACTGACCTGATGGAAGTGACATGTACACTGGACAACACTGACCTGATGGAAGTGACAGATACACTGGACAAAACTGACCTGATGGAAGTGACAGATACACTAGACAACACTGACCTGATAGAAGTGACACTTACAATGGACAACACTGACCTGATAGAAGTGACACATACACTGGACAACACTGACCTGATGGAAGTGACAGGTACACTGGACAACACTGACCTGATAGACGTGACACATACACTAGACAACACTGACCTGATAGAAGTGACACATACACTGGACATCACTGACCTGATAGAAGTGATAGATACACTGGACAACACTGACCTAATAGAAGTGACATCTAAACTGGACAACACTAAGCTGATAGAAGTGATAGATACACTGGACAACACTGACCTGATAGAAGTGACGCATACACTAAACAACACTGACCTGATGGAAGTGACAGATACACTGGACATCACTGACCTGATAGGAGTGATAGATACACTGGACAACACTGACCTGATGGAAGTGACATGTACACTGGACAACACTGACCTGATGAAAGTGACATGTACACTGGACAACACTGACCTGATGGAAGTGACATGTACACTAGACAAAACTGACCTGATGGAAGTGACAGATACACTGGACAACACTGACCTGATGGAAGTGACAGGTACACTGGACAACACTGACCTGATGGAAGTGACAGATACACTGGACAACACTGACCTGATGGAAGTGACAGGTACACTGGACAACACTGACCTGATAGAAGTGACAGGTACACTGGACAAAACTGACCTGATGGAAGTGACACATACACTGGACAACACTGACCTGATGGAAGTGACAGATACACTGGACAACACTGACCTGATGGAAGTGACACATACATTTGACAACACTGACCTGATGGAAGTGACAGGTACACTGGACAACACTGACCTGATGGAAGTGACAGGCACACCGGCCCGGCAGGAAGTCTCTAAACCTGGACATGGTCATGCTGAAAGTGTCCACCACAGAAAAGCCCAGGCGTCGGGCCGTGGCCAACAGCGCCTGGTTGTGACTGTATAATTGTTGCTGCTCCATCTGTGGTAGATGTACACACATCACTGACTGACTGGTGTACACACATCACTGACTGACTGATGTACACACATCACTGACTGACTGGTGTGCACACATCACTGACTGTTTGGTGTACACACATCACTGACTGACTGATATACACACATCACTGACTGACTGGTGTACACACATCACTGACTGACTGGTGTACACACATCACTGACTGACTGGTGTACACACATCACTGACTGACTGGTGTACACACATCACTGACTGACTGGTGTACACACATCACTGACTGACTGGTGTGCACACATCACTGACTGACTGGTGTACACACATCACTGACTGACTGGTGTACACACATCACTGACTGACTGGTGTGCACACATGACTGTCTGACTGATGTACACACATCACTGACTGACTGATATACACACATCACTGACTGACTGGTGTACACACATCACTGACTGACTGTTGTACACACATCACTGACTGACTGGTGTACACACATCACTGACTGACTGATGTACACACATCACTGACTGACTGGTGTACACACATCACTGACTGACTGGTGTACACACATCACTGACTGTAGTGTACACACATCACTGACTGACTGATGTACACACATCACTGACTGACTGGTGTGCACACATCACTGACTGACTGGTGTACACACATCACTGACTGACTGATATACTTACATCACTGTCTGACTGATATATACACATGAGTGACTGATATACATACATCAGTGTCTGACTGATATATACACATGAGTGACTGATATACATACATATGTGTCTGACTGATATACATACATCACTGTCTGACTGATATACATACATCACTGTCTGACTGATATACATACATCACTGTCTGACTGATATACATACATCACTGTCTGACTGATATACATACATCACTGTCTGACTGATATACATACATCACTGTCTGACTGATATACTTACATCACTGTCTGACTGATATATACACATGAGTGACTGATATACATACATCAGTGTCTGACTGATATACATACATCACTGTCTGGCTGATATATACACATGAGTGACTGATATACATACATCAGTGTCTGACTGATATACATACATCACTGTCTGACTGATATACATACATCACTGTCTGACTGATGTACAATATGACTTTCGGACTGATGTACAAACATGGCTGTCTGACTGATGCGCACACATGACTGTCTGACTGGTGTACACTCATGACTGTCTGACTGATATACACACATGACTGTCTGACTGTTTTACACACATGACTGTCTGACTGGTGTACACACATGACTGTCTGACTGGTGTACACACATGACTGTCTGACTGATGTACACACATGAATGTCTGACTGGTCTACACACATGACTGTATGACTGATGTACACAAATGACTGTCTGACTGATGTACACATATGAGTGTCTGACTGATGTACACACATGACTGTCTGACTGGTGTACACACATGACTGTATGACTGATGTACACACATGACTGTATGACTGATGTACACACATGACTGTCTGACTGGTGTACACACATGAATGTCTGACTTATGTACACACATGACTGTCTAACTGAGGTACACACATGACCGTATGGCTGAGGTACACACATGACTGTATGACTGATGTACACACATGACTGTATGACTGATATACACACGTGACTGTCTTACTGATTTACACACATGACTGTCGGACTGGTGTACACACATGACTGTATGACTGGTGTACACACATGACTGTATGACTGGTGTACACACATGACTGTATGACTGGTGTACACACATGACTGTATGACTGGTGTACACACACGACTGTATGACTGGTGTACACACATGACTTTCTTACTGATGTACACACATGACTGTCGGATTGGTGTACACACATGACTGCCGGACTGGTGTACATACATGACTGTATGACTGGTGCACACACATGACTGTCGGACTGGTGTACATACATGACTGTATGACTGGTGTACACACATGACTGTATTACTGGTGTACACACATGACTGTATGACTGGTGTACACACATGACTGTATTACTAGTTTACACACATGACTGTCAAACTGGTGTACACACATGACTGTATGACTGGTGTACACACATGACAGTATGACTGGTGTACACACATGACTGTCGGACTGGTGTACACACATGACTGTATGACTGGTGTACACACATGAATGTCGGACTGGTGTACATACATGACTGTATGACTGGTGTACACACATGACTGTATGACTGGTGTACACACATGACTGTATGACTGGTGTACACACATGACTGTATGACTTGTGTACACACATGACTTTCTTACTGATGTACACACATGACTGTCGGACTGGTGTACACACAAGACTTTCTGACTTATGTTTTTTTGGACATGATATATCTGGGACATCTTGGAAGACATGATCTGTTGTCTCAGGTGCTAATCCACATGTACATATGGCTTATTCGCCAGTCTTAAATTTTGTGTGCATGTGGCTGCGTAGTCGATTGTGTCCTGTTCTAATACGTACAATAATTATATATATATATATACGTCATTAACTGTTTACATACATACATGCATAGTGTACTCTGTACACACATATGTCATTTACTGTCTACAAACATACATGCATAGTGTACTATTTACACACATAATGTAATTTACAGTTTACACACATACATGCATTGTGTACTCTGTACACACATATGTCATTTACTGTCTACAAACATACATTCATAGTGTACTGTGTACACACGTGCAGTGTGGTGTCCCTACTGGGAGGGTCAGAGGAAGATATACAGTCACGCCTGAACAAAGCTAGAGCTGCTTTTGGAAGGATAAGGCAAATCTGGAAATCCAACAAATACTGCAGAGGAACGAAACTCCGACTCTACAGGAGCATCATTTTGCCATTTCTTCTTTATGGAGCTGAATGCTGGAGAATGACGAAAAAGGATGCACACAAGCTGTCCACCTTCCACCACACATGTCTACGAAGAATTTATCAAAATTTTCTGGCCAGATACAATCTCAAACACTAAACTACTTCAAGCCACAAACCAAGAAACTTTAGACAGTATGATTACCAAGAGAAGATGGAAATGGCTTGGCCACTTTATGAGAATGACTTCTGATATACCTGCCAAAACAGCTCTCACATGGACACCAAAGGTAAAGAGAAAACAGGGGCGCCCAAAAACAACATGGAGACGAACGATGGAAAGTGACCTGAGTGCGGCATCTCTGACATGGAAAACTGCACAGAAGATTGCACAGGACAGGAAAGCATGGAAAGTCCTCTCTGAAGCCTCATGTGCCACTAGGCATAACGAGAACTGATGATATATATATATATATATATATATATATATATATATATATATATATATATTTAACATAGAAAAATAGATAATTGAATTATAGTACTCATTTGATTGAAGTATCTTTAGCATGAACTTGCATGTTGTTAAATTTCCTGCCTCTTCTTCTGAGCTCACTATTTGACATGTCTTATTTTCATGTGATACTTTGTGCAAGTTTTTTATAAGCAGTCAATAGGATTTTGTAAATTCTGTTTCTTTTTTTTTTTTTGGATGTATTACACACTGCTCTTTCTGCAAAATTCAGTTGGCTGATTTCTTCATGACCTTATTTGCCTCCCGTATAATTCACTCTTGTTCATCATCTACATAGATATGATCGCTAAAGAAGCAAAACCCCAGTATGGTGATTGAATTGAGCCGATATTTGTCGACAACCATGCCCTATCATTATAAAGATCAAAACAACTACCAACACCATCATAACAGCCTCGACATCTATAACAAAAAGTAGTATACATAAATAAATACTGGCGGAAAAAACACAGAAATAATGACGGTAAATGGAAGACAGGTTCAACATATCATCGTTGCTGTAGGAGAGAGACTAAAATAAGCTCAACATATCATCGCTGCTGTAGGAGAGTGACTAAAATAAGCTCAACATATCATCGCTGCTGTAGGAGAGAGACTAAAATAAGCTCAACATATCATCGTTGCTGTAGGAGAGACATTACAATAAGCTCAACATATCATCGTTGCTGTAGGAGAGAGACTAAAATAAGCTCAACATATCATCGTTGCTGTAGGAGAGAGACTAAAATAAGCTCTACATATCATCGTTGCTGTAGGAGAGACTAAAAAAAGCTCAACATATCATCGTTGCTGTAGGAGAGAGACTAAAATAAGCTCAACATATCATCGTTGCTATAGGAGAGAGACTAAAATAAGCTCAACATATCATCGTTGCTGTAGGAGAGAGACTAAAATAAGCTCAACATATCATCGTTGCTGTAGGAGAGAGACTAAAATAAGCTCAACATATCATCGTTGCGGTAGGAGAGAGACTAAAATAAGCTCAACATATCATCGTTGCTGTAGGAGAGACATTACAATAAGCTCAACATATCATCGTTGCTGTAGGAGAGACATTAAAATAACCAAAAGAAGGTAAATACCTAGACAAAATGTTCACTGCGAGTTGAGAATGGTACAGGTAAATAGAAATACTGAACACAGAAGGCCAACAACATAAATGACCAAACAGTCCCACTTTTGAGGCATCCAAATATCAACAACAACAAAAGCAGCTGATAAATGCGTTATTCGTACCAACTTTGTGCTGTCAGTTTCAGACAGGACAGCCGGAGAAAAACATCAACGCAGAATGATAACATGTGAGGTGAGATGTATCAGACAGGACAGCAGGAGAAAAACATCAACGCAGAATGATAACATGTGAGGTGAGATGTATCAGACAGGACAGCCGAAGAAAAACATCAACGCAGAATGATAACATGTGAGGTGAGATGTATCAGACAGGACAGCCGGAGAAAAACATCAACGCAGAATGATAACATGTGAGGTGAGATGTATCAGACATGGACAGCCGGAGAAAAACATCAACGCTGAATTACAACATGTGAGATGAGATGTATCAGACA